TCGACCTGCTGGCCACGCTTCTTGTGATGAAGCCCAGGACACGATTGGCCTTCTGGGCTGTGAGCGCACATTGCTGGCTCACGTCCAGCTTTTCATCCGTGAGCCTTGATCTTCAGTGGAGGTTTATATATCCAGCAGAAATGGTACTTGGACAAAATGATCTCTCTGCTAGCAATGTTGACTTGGAACACTGGGCAGAGGAACAGAATTCTTGGTCCAGGAAGCCTCGGGCCCAATTAAATAAAATATTGCCTTGAAAATGATGACATCTCTATTCACTACTTGATTTTTCTTCAGTGTGCCCTTGCTCCAGGAAACATAACTTGCCTTTTGCATTCCCATGTCTCAATAAGATTATTTTAATTGCATCTCTCTAGAGGGGAAGGTGAGGGAAGTTGTTGAAAACTGCTGTTCAATAGTTGCTTTTTTGTGTCATTCTCAGATAATTCCTCACACAGTTCCTAGATTTTTACTCAGCTCTTGGCATAGCAGTTAATTTGCTAGTAGACCCAGAGTCCTTTTCTCTCAGCGTACAGTTTCATCCTACTCTTTCTCTGAAGTCACAAACCCTTTACTGACATGGCTCAGGATGGGGCCCTGTGAAAGCTGTAACAGGATACAGTGCAAGTTACCAGTTGAGGAACTGATGAAAGGGAAATGCAAGGACCTCTTTGCTTATCGTTATTTCTGGAGTGTAGTTCCACATTATATCTTTTCTTTTATAAAATGAAGTTTGAACTCCTTCTTTCTCCTACAGCAGGACATCAAATAATGGAAAACAGTGGCAAGTGCAATGAGTAGGCAGGTGCATCAATTCTTCCCACTACTCTAGTGTTTGTAACAACAATTTTCTTACTGGGACTGTGCAGACCACTGTCTTGGCAAAAGCAGGATCTCCACTTATTTCAAAGTAATGTTAAGTATTTATCCTTACAGTGTCACGGTGGATTTTGTTTTCTTGTGTAATACACTGATAAAATAAAAAGCAAGCAGTAATTGCGGTGGCTTAAAAATACACTTTATCTTTTTTTTTTTTTTTGGTAATGAAGTGATACAGAATGCAACTGTTGGTTTACTCAGATTTCTCACCTAGAACTCTTGTAAAGGGATGCGTCTTGGTTTTGTTCTAAGACACCAAAATCATTGCGTACTTTTAATTTTACTGTAAAAAAAGGAGGTGCACACAGACTAAGAATCATGAAACTGAGATTATATACCAGATATAGCTTTCCTGAGGGAAAATCCCACGAAGCAATACAGCTTTTCTGCAAAACTTAGTTTTGTGCTCTTTGTTTGGGTCTTTGTCATGCATTAAAAAATGATAGTGTTTCTTAGCATGCAGAGACATGTGATGTATGAAACTTTCCCTACAAGAAGAAATGAGCCTGAAATAGCAAAATGCTTTTGAGTTTCCTATGTCTGCCCTATAATAGATTTTGTTTGGAACAGATCTGAAAAAAGATTGTACAAAATCAATGCAAAGCTGTCATGGGGACTTTTTATAACTTATTTAATCTTTCAGTAGTATGATTAGAAAAAAGTAGTCTCAGTGATTATGGTCTTGTTTTAAATAATTTAAGAGCATTAACATTGTGTTTGACTTCATCTTTTGATTAATTTATTTATTTACCAGTGTGATTTTGATGTAGAAGAGTGGATTAATGGTATGGATTGCCTCCATCTCTTGCAGGAAGCTGTGGAGAGCAGATATGTTAGGTGTCCCCTCCAGGCATTCCTTGGTGGGTGTCAAGAGGAGAGCTCCCAGGCTTCCTCCACCCAATGCAAGGGAAGACACCAGGTCCTTCCTGGCTGTGGAAGCAGGTCAGCCAGTGGTGGAAAGAGCAGATTTATTGCCTTGCTGAAAACTACTGCAATCATGTGCAGGGCTGTCTGACATGGACTCTAAATATCCCTGATCCTATGATTTACCTACCCTTTAGATCCCCTTTCTTCCCCTTTTTTCCATCTCCTTTTTTTCCCCTTTACCAGCCTCATTCCCTCTCAAACCAACCACCTCTGATTACTTTTTCTCCATTGATCCCAGTTTTGCTACATCCCTACCCAAATTTGGTATTTCTGATACTGTTTCTTAGATAATCTCAGATTTGTATAGAATCACCTCGGTGCTGTCGGCCCTTGCAAGATCGTGCTTCACAAAAGGTCCCCAATACAGTCTTTCAGTTATTGTGAGAAATGGCCAGATCTCACAGAATTTCCCCATAACCATCTGTGACATCCAGCCATCCCTTATGGCACAATTCATAAGTTTTTGTCACCTTCTCACATCTTTACTGTGAGGGTGGCTGAGCACTGGTGCAGGTTGCCCAGGGAAGTTGTGGAGTCTCCATCCCTGGAGATATCCAAAAGCCGTCTGGACATGGTCCTGGGCAACCAGCTCTAGGTGGCCCTGCTTGAGCAGGGGGGTTGGACCAGATGACCTCCAGAGGTCCCTTCCAACCTGAACCGGTCTGTGATTGTGTGAACCTGTCGTCATCAGAACATGTCTTATCCCCTTCCTACAGAGCACGTTCCAAGTGCTGCCCAGCTACATGGGCTCTTGGATTCTTTTGTCGCGTTCTGTGAGAGATACCTTCTGGCAGTGTCATTGCAAGACTGGGTGTTTGTACTAGTTGCATGTTAGGTTTTCCATTTTCTAAAAGCAATACAAAGTAATTACTGGATATTATTTTAATGAATAAATACAAGTCATGACTTAGAAATCTGTAATGCTCCCTATATACATTTCACTGGATAAAATGCAGTCACCACAACATATTAATCATCAGTAACAGTAATGAGATTATACAAACGCCTAGAGTTTGTTTTGCTTTGTGATGTTCAATGTTTACCAGCCAAATTACATTCATCCTTTAAGTTCTGAAATATGTTTAAATAGGCTGTGAACTATTTTGATCTCTGAATCTCTCTTGCTAGTGCAAATAATCTGTTACAAGGTCTAAAGAGCACACAGATTTGTGCTAAGAGGTATTTACAGAGGAAATATATATATACACACACACATATATATATAAACCCAATTCCCTGTCTCTCCAAACCTTCATCACTCAAATGTGTGCAAAAAGTTATGACAATGTTAGATTGAAAAGATCTCAGCTTGAGAACATAGATTGCAGCATTTTACACCCCCAGATGTGAGTGATTACTTGATTTAGAAAGCAATCACAAGTCAGGTTCAAAGGACCATGCTAGCTGCTCCTTTATCATTTAGCAAAGGGTACACATATATAGAAAAATTCTCTGATTCTTGAAATTTCAGATAACCCAGTAACAAATCTTCAAGCAGTTTGATGAAATGTGTCATTATTT